CACTGCACTCCAGTCTGGGTGACAGAGTGAGACTCCAATTCAAAAAAAAAAAGAAATGTATTTATTACCACTTAAGTATAGACATAACAAAGACAAAGATGGTAAATTGTATAAGTATGTTTTACCTCTATAAAAAAGAATTTTTTTTTTTTAGCTGAAGTCTCACTCTGTCTCCCAGGCTGGAGTGCAATGACATGATCGTAGCTCACAGCAGCCTGGACCTCCTGGGCTCAGGCGATCCTCTCGCCTCAGTTTCTCAAGTAGCTGGGACTATAAACGTGTGCCCACACCAAGCCACTCTGTTACCCAGACTGGTCTCAAACTCCTGGGCTCAAGCAATCCTCTCTCCTCTGCCTCCTGAGCAGCTGAAACTACAGGCACGCGCCCCCACTCCTGACTAACTTTTTGATTTTTTAAGACGAGTCTCGCTATGTTGCCCAGGCAGGCCTCGAACTCCTGGGCTCACATGATCCTCCTGCCTCAGCCTCCCAAATGTCTGGGATTACAGGCACATGCCGCATGCCCAGTTAACTTTTTAATTTTTTGTAAGATGAGTCTTGTTATGTTTCCTGGGCTAGTCTCAACCTCCAGAGCTCAGGTAATCCTCCTACCTCAGCCTCCCAAGTACCCACAACACCTGGCCAATTTCTTTATTTTTTTGTTGGAGATAGAGTCTTACTGTGCTGCCCAGGCTGATCTCAAACTCCTGGACTCAAACAATCCTCCCACCTCAGCCTCCCGAGTAGCTGGGACACCACCATGCTTGGCTAATTTTTAAAAATTTTTTTGTAGAGACAAAGGTCTTGCTATGTTGCCCAGGCTGGTCTCAAACTCCTGGGCTCACATGATCCTCCCACCTCGGTCTCCCAAAGTGCTGGGATGACAGGCATGAGCCACTGCACCTGACCTATAAAACTTTTTTAAAAACAAAGTTCTGTTCGACCATTCAGGAGACCCACACTTCAAAATCAGTATTAGAAGTATTGAAGGGAGCATGTGCCTGTGTGGCCTCATGGGTTAGTTATGAGAAAAGACAAACCCGATCGAATAGGGTATCGGCCTGTGAGAAATGCAGCCCTGCTTGGGGTGCACATGGACGCGGCAGCCAGGTGCTGAATTAATATCACTCCCTCCTCTGCCAGGCGGTCAATATTTGGGGTCCTAAAAAGAGTGGGAAAAAAACAGAACAGCTTTATTCCTTAAAATGCAAACAAATAGGTTTTTCATAAGCAGAGCTGCAGGCTACTCTTGTAGAAAGTTCTACTGGTCATCACTGAACACATCAAGATGTTCTGAAGGTTAGCTGGGTATGGTGGTTCACACCTGTAATTTCAGTACTTTGGGAGGCCAGGGAGGGAGGATCGCCTAAGACCAGGAGTCTGAGGCCAGACTGGGTTAATGTAGCAAGATCCCATCTCTACCAAAAAAAAAATTTTTTTTAATTAGCTAGGCGTGGTGGTTCACATCTGTATTTTCAGTGCTTTGGGAGGCCAAGGAAGGAGGATCATCTGAAACCAGGTGTTTGAGACCTGCCTTGGTAATGTAGCAAGATCCGGTCTCTACAAAAAAAATTTTAAATTAGCCGGGCATGGTGGTACATGCCTACAGTCTCAGCACTTTGGGAGGCTCACTTGAGGCCAGGAGTTGCAGACCAGCCTGGGCAACATAGTGCAACTCCTCTACAAAAATTGAAAAAAAATTGAGCCAGACAAGGTGGCCTATACCTGTGGTCCCAGCTACTTGGGAGCCTGAGGCAGGAGGATGACCTGAGCCCAGGAGGTCGAGGCTATGGTGAGCCATGAGCCATGATTGTGCCACTGCACTGCAGCCTGGGTGAAAGAGTGAGACCCCAACTCAAATAAATAAACAAATAACAAAAATAAAAATAAAAAAGCAACATGAGCAGAGTTCTTTTTTTTTTTTTTTTTTGAGTTGGAGTCTCACTCTGTCACCCAGACTGGAGTGCAGTGGCCGCTCCCGGCCGCCGCAGCCTCGACCTGCTGGGCTCCAGAGATCCTTCCGCCTCAGCCTTCCAAGTAGCTGGAACTACAGGCGTGCGCTACCACGCCCAGCTAATTTTTGATTTATTGTAGAGATGAGGTCTCGCCAAGTTGCCCAGGCGGGTCTCGAACCCACGGGCTCAAGCAATCCACTCATCTCGGTCTCCCAAAGTGCTGGGATTACAGGCTGAGCCACCGAGCCCGGCCGAGCAGAATTCTTAAAGTTGGGGTTGGATGAAGTGTTGTGAACATGACCAGGGACTTCTCTTTCTTCTGGCCTCCACACTGGAGGCCCCAGGTGAGGAACGCTCAGTCCCTTACCTGACGGTGGTGTTGCCATAGCAGCCGATGTCGCCGATGCCAAGGTCATCAGCCATCATGAGAAGCACATTTGGCCACGAGCCCGATATGTCACTGCAGGCAGGAGACATCAAACCCAGCAACACAGCAAAGGTGACGGCCAGGCGAGTCCTGAAATACAAGCTACCAAGAAACACATGCTCCATCTCATTCACAAAACTTCATGTCCTGAAGTTGACGCTGTTATTTTTAAATTCTGAGTTGGGGTCTCACTCTGTTGCTCAGGCTGGAATGCAGTGACATGATCACGGCTCACCACATCCTCGATCTCCTGGGCTCAGGTGATCCTCCTGTCTTGGCCTCCCGAGTACCTGGGACTACAGGCATGCCACCATGCCCGGCTGATTTTTTTTAAAAATTTTTGTAGAAATGAAATCTCACTATGTTGCCCAGTATGGTCTCAAACTCCTGAGTTCAAGCAATCCTCCCGCCTCGGCCTCCCAAAATGCTGGGATGACAGATGTGAGCCACCATACCTGGTCTGGCATCACTGTTTTAAAGGGTTTTGATATTATCATCTGGCTAAAAATAGCTCATACTGTTGATGGTTTTATTTAACTGGAAGCATTTATTTGACAGTTCTGGAGTCTGTTGTTAAGTGATCATATTCATGATTTATAGAACACCTTATTTGTGATTCCTTAGAAGTCATGAAGCCCAGGCACGAGCGCTCATGCCTGTCATCTCAGCACTTTGAGAGACTGAGGCAGGAGGATCTCTTGAGGTCAGGAGTTGAAGACCAGTTGGGCAATATAGTGAGACCCTGTCTGAACAACAACAACAACAAAAATTAGTTGGGTTGTGGTGGTGTGTATGGTCTTAACTAATTGGGAGGCCAAAGCAAGAGGACTGCATGAAGCTAGGAATTCAAGACCAGCCTGGGCAACATAGCAAGACCTCATCTCTAAAACAAACAAAAAGAAAAAAAAATGTGTGGATTAAGTCCTCAGAACACCTGCCGTTTCTACTTCTTTAGCTGTTCTTCCTCCTTACTCTTCTTTAGATAAATAAACTGTATTGAATTTAGGTACTGGGGGCACCTGGTTAGGGGCAGGACCACCCAGTAGAGGGAAGCACCTACAAGTTTGGGGCAGGGTGAGACCACAGAGAGCTGGTAATTTTAAGTCTGTGAAAAGGCTCTGTAAATTCTAGCATGAATATGAAAATACTCAAGACTGATGTGTTTTGATTTTTTGTTCTGTTTTGTTTTTGAGTCAGGGTCTTACTCTGTGGCGCAGGCCATGGTGCACTGGCATGATCACAGTTCACTGCAGCCTCGATCTCCTGGGCTCAGGCGATCCTCCCACCTCAGTCTCCCAAGTACCTAGGACTACAGGTGTGCATCACAATGCCTGGCTAATTTTTTTAAAATTTTTTTGTAGAAATAAGATCTCACGATGCTGCCCAGGTTGGTCTCGAACTTCTGGTTTCAGGCGATCCTCTCACCCCAGCATCCCAAGTAACCGGAACTACAGGAATGCGCCACCATACCCGGCTAATTTGTTAATTTATTGTAGAGACGAGGTCTTGCCAAGTTGCTCAGGCTGGTCTCGAACCCCTGGACTCAGGCAATCCTTCTGCCCCAGCCTCCCAAAGTGCTGGGGTTACAGGCATGAGCCACTGCACCTGGCCAAGACTGATGTATTTGACCCACTGATATTCGACAAGGAGGTGTGTCTTTCTGGGTGATAACAGCTCCCTCCTGGAGCAGAGAGTCTTGGTGTTGGGATACCACAAGAAAGCATTGCTTCCGGGGCTGGTGACCTCCACTCCTACCTTTTTCCCTGATGACACCATGCATGTCCATAGCAAGACAATAATCCCAGCCCCCAGTGTGATGACTGAAGCTGTGATATGAGTCTCCAAGAAGATGTGCAAGATGGACTTCCTCTAAGACCAGACCCTGCCCACAGTAGCATTTATGCCCATGTGGCTTGCAAAGAGGGAAACAGAATTTATCTTGAGAACTCCTGAGATGACCCTGGGTCACAGAGTATTTATACAAGGTCCGACAATGAGGCTCTCTAATTCATCCTAGAGAAAATGCTCGATACCTCTTTGCTGACTCTCAATATGGTCACCTTCGAAGTCTTCCCCTTGGGAAGCTATGTACTGACGCCAGTGCCTAGTCCACCCATCAGAGCAATTTTGGAACTCTTTTTCTGGAATGGCCATCAGAACCCTCATCATTACTTATTAAGTTCTGATCATTAAGTTCGCAAACTTGCTTCATACGCTTATGTTGGCAGCATTGTACAAATAACTGTTGGAAACCCTCCCTGCTCACTTGATCTGGCCCCCAATGACTCTTTTCTTGACCCAAAGATAAAGGAAATATAAAAATATAAAGATAAAGGCCATTCAATGTCATTCAGGACATCATGGGTCATACGACAACAGCTCTGACAGCCATTCCAGAAAAAGAGTTCCACAATTGCGTTGACAGGTGGACTAGGTGCTGGCATCACTGCATAGCTTCCCAAGGGAAGGACTTCGAAGATGATCATTGTGACATTCAGCAATGAGGGATGGAGGACTTTTTCTAGGATGAGTTCGTGACCCTCATTGTCGGACCCCATATGAATCACAAGTTTCAGGATTGATCCACCAGACATCCTGATCAATTGAGCAAGGCTTGACGGGTTATCAATACATTCTGAGAAAGTGACATTATCACAGAAGCAAGAGACAGATGACAAACAGGTGCACAGACTCCCGTCTTACCAAGAATGGTGCAAGTGTAACATGTTCTCTCTCTCTCTCTTTCTCCTTCTCTTTCTTTATTTCCTATAAGACATAAAAATTTTCATAATGATGCAAATCAAAACTACAATGAGATATCATTTACACTGGTCTGAATGGCATTTATTTATATTTTAATTTAATTTTTTTATTATTATTATTTTTGAATCGGGGGTTTCACTCTGTTGCCCAGGCACCATTATGTGCAGTGGCACCATTATGGCTCACTGCAGCCTCGACCTCCTGGGCTCAGGTGATCTTCTCGTCTCAGCCTCCTGAATAACTGAGACTACAGGCGCATGACATCACCATACCCACCAGCTATCTTGTTTTTGTTTTTAGTCTTCTGATTTTTCTCCTCTCTTTTTAAAATTTTATTTTAGAGATGTGGGGTACAAATTCAGCTAATTTTTTTTTTTTTTTTGTAGAGATGAGTTTTCACTATGTTGCCCAGGCTGGTCTCAAATTGGGCTCAAAAAATCCTCCTGCTTTGGCCTCCCAAAGTGCTGGGATTACTGGCATGACCCAGCATGCCCAGCTTATTTTTGTTTTTTAATTTTAATAGTTTTAGGGCATACAAATGGTTTTTGGACATGGCTACTTTGTAAAGTGATGAAGAAGTCTGGGTTTGGGGCCAAGCATGGTGGCTCATGCCTGTCATCCCAGCACTTTGGAGGCCAAGAGGGAAGGATTGCTTGAGACCAAGAGTTTGAGACCAGCCTGGCCAACGTAGTGAGACCCCCATCTCTAAAAACAGTAAATAAATAGAAGTGTGAACTTTAAGTGCACCTGCCACCCCCACTTGTGCACACTGAGCCTGACAGGTGACTTTTTATCCTTCCCTCTCCCCCTCCTCTGAGTCCCCAACATTCGTCACACTATCTCTCGGCCTTTGCAGGCCCTGAGCTCAGCTCCCACTTATAAGCAAGAACACACAGTGTTTTGTTTTCTGTTCCTGCGTTAATTCACTTGGGATAATGGTCTCCAATCCCATCCAAGTTGCTGCAAAGGATATGACGTCATTCTTTTTGATGGCTGCGTAGTATTCCATAGTGTGTAGACACCACATTTTCATTATCCGTTGATGGTTTGACGTGCGTATAGGCTGATTCCAAATCTTTGCAGTTTTGAGTTGTGTTGTGATGAACATGTGGATGCAGGTGTCTTTCATACAATGACCTCTGTTCCTTTGGGTGGATACTGAGTCATGGGGTTGCTGGATTAAATAGTAGATCTACTTTTTGTTCTTTAAGAAAGCTCCATACCAATTTCCTTAGAGGCTGTACTAATTTGCACTCCTACCAACAGGGTATAAATGTTCCCTTTTCACTAAAGAATAGCTATTATTAATAGGCCAAAAAGAAAAAAAAAAAACAGATGTTGGTGAGGTCGTGGAGAAAAGTGAACACTTGTGTACAGTTGGTGGGAACATAAGCTAGTTCAGCCCCTATGGAAAGCAACTAGGATTTCTCAAAGAACTAAAGGTGGATTTGCTCCAGCAATCCCTCTCCTGGTAATATACCCAGAGGAACAGAAATTGCTCTAAAAAATGACACTCCCACACGTGTTTATTGCCACACTATTCACAATAGCAAAAACATGAAACAAACCCTACTGCCCATTAAAAGTGGACTGGATAAAGAAAATGTGGTCCACATACAAGATAAAGTATTATGCAGCCATGAAGAAGGACAAAGTCATGGACTTTGCAGCAAATTGGCTATAGCTGGAGACCATCTTACTAAGTGAACTATTACAGAAACAAAGAACTGAATGAATACTCATGTTCTCGCTCATAAGTGGGAGTTAAACACTGGACACACACGGCCTCAAGCGATCCTCCCACCTCAACCTCCCTAGTGGCTGAGACCACAGACACCACCATCTCCAGCAAATTTTTTTAGTTGTTTGTGGAAATGGGGGTCTTGCTATGTTGCCCAGGCTGGTATTGGACTCTTGGCCTCAAGTGATCCCCCAACCTCGACCTCCCAAAGTGCTGGGATTACATGCATGAGCCATCACACCTGGCCTCCATAATTTATACAACAATACATATAAAACAGACACTAGGAGAGATGGAGGGAAGGAGTGGGGATAGGGTTATAATATCACCCAGTGGGTGCCATGCTCACCACCAGAGAGGAGGGAGGTGGGCTCCTTAGAAGTCCAAACCTCACCACCATGCAATACACCTGAGGAACAAAGCTTCCCACATACCCCGTAATCCTAAAATAAAATAAATAACCCAATAAAAAGGAAAGAAAATGTTTTCATTAAAAACGACAGCTGAAGTTGAACCAATTTTATAGGTGAAGCAGTAAAACTGTAACTAGAAAGGGGAGCTTTGAATTCTCTCATAATATCAACACACACACACACACACACACACACAAAACCAAAAAAAAAAAAAAACTCTTAAAACCATAAATAGAATCTCAAAAGATTGCTCTTCTTGAGACTTAAAAAAGGTTGAACATTAGCCAGGCCCGGTGACTCATGCCTGTAATCCCAGCACTTTGGGAGGCCAAGGAGGGAGAATTGCTTGAGCCCAGAGTTCGAGACCAACCTGGGCAGCATAGTGAGACCCAACCTCCATAAAACTCAAAAAATTAGTCAGGCATGGTGGCACATGCCCGTCGTCCCAGCTACTTGAGAGGCTGATGCAGAAGTATTGCCCGAGCCCAGGAGGTCAAGGCTCTGTTGGATCATGATCGTGCCACTGCCCTCCAGCCTGGGCGACAGAGCAGGAACTCAACTAAAATAAGTAAAGAGATGGAAAGAAAAACAGACCTCGAAGACATTGTTACTTTCCTGCTTTATGAAAACAGACAGGGTCACGAGTCAGAGATAGAAAATGGAGTTGGCAGCTCTTTGCATACCATGGCCCAGGTGTGGGTTAGAATCCAGCACAGAATGTTCCAGAACAGTCACCGGACTACCCTCTGCTTCGGGGTTTCTTTTGAATTGCATGGTCAAAGAGTATAAGGTTCCTTTCCAAAAGGAGGAAGCTTGAAGACCAGGAATCTTTGCACAGTGCTTTAGGCTGGGAATGATTGATTGACTTCACATTGTTTTCAGTATGTCAGGGAGAGATCAATGATTAGATGAGGGAGAGAGAGAGAACACAGATTCCTCAGACATTCCTGCATATGGGAACTCAGAGCCACACCTATGCCCACTAAACCTGGTGGTCAGTCTCCTTAGGCTTTTACTTTTTTAGTTTTTCTATTTAATTTTTTTTTTTGAGAGATAAGGTCTCACTATGTTGCCCAGACTGGGCTCAAGTGCTCCTCCAGCTTCGGCCCCCCAAAGTGCTGGGATGACAGGCATGAGCCACCGTGCCTGGCTCTTATGTTTTTAAACGATGGCCTGTGCTGTCTTATGAAGGCTATTGACTACATTATTATATATCCAGGCAGAATTGATAAAATAAAATTAGAAAAGGCGGAGTGTGGTGGATCACACCTGTAGGTCCAGCTACTGAGGAGGCTGAAGCAGGAGGACTGCTTGAGGCCAGGAGTTGGAGACCAGCCTGGGCAACGTACCAGGACACTGTCTCTACAAAAGCAAACAAAAATTAGGGCTTGGTGGTACACTCCTGTGGTCCCAGCTACTTGGGAGGCTGGGGTGAAAGGATCGCTTGAGCCTAGGAGTTCGAGACTGCAGTGAGTTATGATCATACCACTGCACTCCAGCCTGGGCAACTCAGTAAGATCCTGTCTCTAAAAAAAGAAGAAAAATTAGTCAACCTTTCTTGACCTACAAGGTAAGTAGTTTTGTTTTTTTTTTGTTGTTTGTTTTTTTTTTTTTAAGTTGGAGTCTCACTCTGTCGCCCAGACTGGAGTGCAGTGGCCGCTCCCGGCCACCGCAACCTCGACCTGCTGGGCTCTGGCGATCCTTCCGCCTCAGCCTTCCAAGTAGCCGGAATTACAGGCGCGTGCTACCACGCCCAGCTAATTTTTTGATTTATTGTAGAGATGAGGTCTCGCTGCCCAGGCGGGTCTCGAACCCGCGGGCTCAGGCAATCCACTCACCTCAGCCTCCCAAAGGCGCGGGATTACAGGCTGAGCCACCGAGCCCGGCGGTAAGTAGTTTTGTAGCGTCTAACCCACAACCTCTCCACAAGTTTCCTAAGCAGGGGGTCTTTAAAAAGGACAAGCCAGTTCCCTCCCAAATGGAGCAAGCCTGAAAGCTGGGAGCATTTGCACAGTGCTTTGGGCTGGAATTGATTGACTTCACGTTTGTTTTTGTCATGTCAGGGACAGATTAGAGATTATACAGAGAGAGAGAGAACTCAGACTCCTCAGATAACCCCAGTACTGGGGACCGCAAAGCCAAGTGCTTTGGGTTTTACATGCTGGGTCTGTGCAGAATAGGCGGCAGCCAGGGCCTCCCCTCCAGTGAATTTGGGTGCTGCGGCCACCCTGTTGCACTCGGGCCCTGACTTGTTCCTAAGGGTAGACGGACGCAATGCCTCATCTCCAAATGACACGTGAGGTCAGAAACGTTCTGGGTTCCGGCCACCAGTAGGTACCAGAGTCTCAGTGGTCCCACCTAGGGACCTTGGGCTATAGGTCTCCAATTGCCACCCTGGGAGGCTGGAGGCCAGGGTGACGTTTTCATATCTACAGTCGTACAAGTTATACTTGGTTTAGGACACCTTTTGTGTATAACATAGAATATAAATGTAATGTGTCAAATACATAAATAGGGAATATTGGGTATATCATTATGGACATACAATTATATAAATAATTTCTCCTTTAGAAAAATAGATATATATATTTTCCTTTATAAAAATGTTATCTTATATATTAAAATATATATTAAGCATAATTATATTATATATAATAATAGCATATATTAAAGATAATTATAGAATACACAATATTAATAATATACAGTAAATATAATTATATCATGTACAATAATATATCATAAATATAATATATATAACACATATTAAAAATAATTGTATTTTGTATTATATTAAATATAGTAATAT